ATTTCCAGTGGTCTATAAAATGCTTTTTGTTCTTCACAAATGGTTTACTTAGTTTAACAAGAGACGTTTGTACGAAGTACTTGACTGGTTCTAGAGATTGCAAGTTCTTATACTAGGGTTTGCCTCTACCGGAGGAGTCTGTGAGGTTTTATAAGCAATTAGGTAACTAAATTAGATTCAATTTTTAACAACAGTGATGCCAATACTTGTGGTTTGGGGGTTCACGTTTTGGGGTGGAATACAACACAATATTCAAATGTAATCTGTTATTTGTTAATTGAGACTTTCTTTCTTTTGTTTTCAACTTATATTTGTACTTCTATGTAATTCTCTGGAAATGAACATACTCATAGAATTGAATAGTTCAAGAAAATAATGTTTACAGATATCAACAATTGCAATTCTTTAATGAGGCAATACTCTTTTTACCTTTAAACAATTTTATTTTTACTTTCAAATAAACGACCCTCAAACAAAGGAATGGTGTGAATGTAATGGTGTCATGTAATAGGCGTTCTTTTGTGAACGTTGATGGGAAACCTATGTGATCAGATTCATTTGATTGTTTGAAAAATTGAATCTTATAAGTGAAACTTTCTGTGCCCTTATGAAGGGGCGGAGATCGATGTAAAATCGAACAACACGCCAAGAAACTGAATGTCTGACCAAATGGTAGAGACAATGAATTGGATATTCCTTCAACTTTGACTTTCCTCTCAAACTAATAAGAGCAGTGACAAGAGAGCCGAGTCGCGTAAATTTCTAATATCTTACGTTTCGGAAATATGACTCCGTTCATATGAAGATAATTATAATGAGTATTGAAAAAAATCAGATGTGTAAAATAAAATAAACTAAAATAAAAGAAATTTAGTTTAGAAGACAATGTATCTTTATCATCGTGTGTAATATTTGATTTTATTCCATTTCTTTCAGTAAAGTACCTAAATAAAATGAGAGGATGCCTGTTATATCGAAACTTTTCCCCTACTTAGTCCTATAAAATATAGAAATTAGAAATTGAAATGATTTGGAGGAAATGCAACAATTTCAGTAGCGCATCCAAGGGGCATGTAGTTTCATCACGACCCCTCCCCCCCCCCACCGAAACGGATATCACAATTCAGAAATACCTAAATTGAAATTTACCTAATTTAAATAGGCGGCATAAATAAATAAAAATAAATATTAAGTTCACAATAAATGAAAACTTACTTTTAAAACTATCTTCATATATAGACATCTGATGGGCTATTTCTATTACTAAATCATTCACGATCATTTATTTATTTTTTATCTGAAATATAATTTAACCCCTTTAAAATGCAGCGTACATAATTATCGTGTTTAAAAGAAGTACATTTTTCTTTCTCTCTGTTTTAGCCTGAGAAACAGTTAATAGCGCAATCAATGACTCTTTTAATTGCTGTGATAAACAAGGAATCAACTGATCCCGGGGCCATCGCAGATGTACGTGTGAATGATAGATCCTGGTGAGCTGGCAGCCGCCGAGTATCCAGTGCGAATGCGAGCGTGAAGTGGTAGGGCGCGTGTGGTGCGGAGCGGCGAATTCTGGAACCTTCCGCTCGGCTCCGCTTCGATTTCGTTCACGTGGCTCAACGATTTTTGATAAAAATTTATAGAAATGCTAGTTCCTAACACAGGCCGGAATGGATTCTCGAATTTAACAAATAATTCAACTTTCTTTTCTATTTTAATAATACTACTCCAAGGTTATTTGAGTTCACCAAGACGCACATACATTTTCCGATATTGATAATCTTTTTTGTAGGCTCGTGGTCGCGTTCGCAGGCGCGTGACCTCAGCGGAATGGAAATTCCCTTCAGCTACGATTCAAAAAATCGGATTTCCAATTTCCAAAATTTTCACTTTCGATATTGACGATGTTTCGTGACAAGTACATTAATAAGGGTCTCTTTTGAAATAAAAATAAATTAAGATTTGATTTATTTTGCTTTCTCGGTTATTTGTTATGTCGAAATATATATTTACACACTTATTCATATCGATAAGTGTACATTATTAATTAAATATTTAGAACATTATTTATTCTTATATATATATATATATATATATATATATATATATATATATATATATATATATTTGTGTGTGTGTGTTTTTTTATAATTTATTCTGAATTTTATATTAAATTTTTCTGAAAAAAGCTTCAGCTTCCTGGAGTTTTTTTCCTCTCAATGATGGATGTGAAACTGGATCCAGATCCCTTAACGTTGTGTAAGGATTCAAATTTTTTGTTTTAAGGTTTTTGGTATTTCTAATATCGTTTCCACTTTCCCCTTTATTTAGGGGTATTCACTTTTATCTCTCCATTTCCTTAAGAGAAGAAACATTTCTGTAGAGTACACTCGTTGCAATGAGAGGAGTGCATACTCGTTGAAGAAATGTAAGCGGATTGTGAAAGCTTGAACCTAGAAACCAAAAACAATATTGTTTAGCAACATCCTCAAAACGCGTTGCTTCATCCAATTACTTGCGAAGATCTTTAGGGTATTATCCTTGACGCACCCCACCAACGAATAAGCTTCATACTATGCCGCAAGATCGGATAGCCGCAAACCAAAGTGATGAACTGCGAGACTAGGGCTGCACAGACCAAAAGGTATTTTATGTTAATCGTCAACTATCTGTCACCAACTTGGACATGCGTAGCGGAGCGTCAACTGCGTTCTAAATCCAGAAGCATAACACATGATGCGTTATGGTTTGTGTAAGGTTAGAACACAACCCTAGAATCCTATGCTAATGCAACTGTTGACACTGCAGTGTCTTTGCCGGGAAGTTCTACGGTTCCTGTCCCGACGGTGGCAGGGCATTAGGTAGGTCGCTAGGTCGACGTTCCGGGTCACGGATAAAAGAGATACCTAGATGGGGAAATCCCACAATCCGCCGTGTAGGTCGTGTCTCACTGATGAGAGTGGGGGAAACACCATCACCTCCTCTGACAAAACCACGCCCTACAAACACGGGCCACAGCAGGCGTCGCGTCCGGAGACCCGGAATAAAGATGCGCTGCGCGCAGGACGGCGCGGCGGAGGCGTCCCGCTGCCCTTGGGCCGTGGACAGGCGCCGGCGCCGGCGCCTGCGCATTAAATTCGGCCTGCGCGCGAGGGGATCTGGCGCGCGCTTTTCGTTTTTGCCGCTCTATCAAGAATCGCTCGCGCCGCTTCTTCTTCGCGTTGCTTCTTTTCCGACGGCGCCGGGGGCCAGGGGGAGCGTGACTGCGCAAAAAGCTCTGGCGCCTGGAAAGACGAGAGTGCTGTGGCAACGCAGCGGGAGGCCGAATTGAAGAAATACACAGTTTTCGCGTGGCACTGTCGTTGACCGCCAAGCCCGCATCCAATGACTACGGCAAAGGCATCTGGACAACAAGAATCTGCAAGCTTTCTTGACTTTCCTGTCGTTGTGTAAAATAAGGATACTTTTTAGTTCGGTATTCCAACCTCTCCCCGAACAGTAGTCGGTAGAACAGTAATTGGTAGAACAGTAGTCAGTAGAACAGTGTTCGGAAAGAGCATCATATATATTGTAGTTTTGTTTGTTTTGAAAGGGTTCACTTTTAATGAATCTCGACGGCTAAAACCTAATACTTCAGAGCACGGTTAAAAAGGTAAATGTATTGGGACCTTAAGAAGGAAATGGAGGGTACAAGAGGCATAATCAGGGGATGCGAGGGGTAAGAAAGTGTTGGTGAGCAGGGAGAGGGTCAAAGATGGGAAAGCTGCGAGGCGAGAAGAGAAAGGAGACACAGTAGCAGAGAGGTGGGACGTGGGGGCAGGGTCAGTTGTGACCGGCGTGGAGAGAGGGATGATGCGGGTAAGTGGTGAATTGGCAAGGGGGAAAGAGCGCAAGAAGCGAGATGTTTGGATGATGACGCTGCCAGGGATGGTAGGGAGGGTCGCAGGCCGGAAGCAGAAAACGTGAAAGAGAGAAGAGGATGCGTGTGGCAGAAGCGGAGGAGAAGAAAAAAGAGAGGCGGTTAGACCGAGGGGGACGATAAGAGATGCGCGATCGATTGGAGAGGACGGGTAGAAGAGGAAGAGGATAGAAGTGGGGGAAGAGTGGGAGTTGGGTGAGTGGTGTGGGGGTAGGAGGAGAACGCTCAAGGGAGGGATTGGGTAGCGATTCTTATTGTAAGATCAGGCATGTCTTTCAATGGTGGCTGAGTTTCTTACGTATTATCAGGTATTGTGGTAGTATTGCCCAGAAAAAGTCTTTGAAGATGTTTCTTCCTCAAGGCAATGAATCGTTCTTTGAATGACGCTGCAAGAAGGGTGTGGCTGGAGGACGGGAACGGGTGAAGGTTGAGTAGCGTAGTAGGTGAATGGAGGCGGTAATGTCTGTGGTTGGAGTGGTTGTCAACAGTACCGGCTGCTTTTTATGAGCTCCAGGGCGGCGCCCTCCCTTGAGAAACCAACCTCAGGAAAAGTTGCAGAAAGTATAAAACTTGCAATAAATCGACTCTCGTTCAAATTGTACATACCATCAGCACAACGCACAATGATATTTTCTCGCCATCAACACCAGGCGAATGTCGGACCAGTACCCTAACAAACGAGCCACGAACCGCGCGCGATCTTTCCTATATCTTCCTAGTCATATCCTCACCCTTTACGCACACTTACACTAACATGCACTACTCAACCACACATCCCGGAAGACCGGTCGGGAGCTTAGAGCTTGTCCCGGGTGGGACGATGCCCTGTTGGTGGGAGTTCGGTGCAGGAGTTCGCCAACCAGCGGCTGGAAGATCACCTCTACCTCCCGAGGGAAAAAGCGTGTAACTACACTTACGGGTCTATCTAACGCGCTCCTTAGTTGACGCGCCCGTAATCGCTAACAGGCAAGCAACGAATCTGACGCACACGCCGCCCCTCCCCGGGCGCCAGTGGTGGCGAGGGGGAAGAGCGTGAGCTGAGCGTGGGCTGAGCGTGGGTGCGTGCGTGCGTGCGTTGCAGCGCGCTGCCGGAGGAGGCCTTCTCGGGGCTGGGGCGCACGGAGTACTTGAGCCTGGCGGACAACGTGCTGACGCTGGTGCCGCGCGCCGCGCTGCGCCACATGCCGCGCCTGCGCACGCTCGACCTGGGCCGCGGCGCCGTCGCCGCGCTCCACCACGGAGACCTCCAGGTAACCTCACATCAGCTCTATAATTTAATGTACCAAAAAGAATCTTCATACCGACCGGTACATGAATCCGGGCCTCCTGCTTTACGTCCCGTTGCTGTGAGCAACCGAGACGACAATTCTTTGAACAGTTGCTTAGTCCATTTGTATTGCCCGTTTATGGTGTATACTAGTGTTACCACCCAGTCACCTTTTTCGGAGGCAATTACGTTCAGAAATATTTGCCACAACAGTAAATGTATCCAAGTTGTGACCTTTTCTATGAGTAACAAAGGTATTGTAATAATTTAATTTCATCAAAGAATTGTCGACCCGACCGGCAGTCCAACACGGTTCTCCTGGTTTACGACCAGTTGCACTACCCGATTGTGCTATTAAGACGACAGTCTCGATGGTTCTTTGAAAGTTTGACAGTTCTTTGAACGGACGGTTCTTTGAACAGTTTCACAGTCTAATGTATTGCCAGTTTATGATATACAATTGTCGCCACGATGTTTCCTTATTGGAGTTGCAATTACAGCCGGAAATATGTTCCGCAACAGTACGAAATGTATCCTAACTGTCGTAAAGTCATAAATGTATCCAGTCGAAAAAGTATCCAAGCTGTTACCTTGTTACTGAGTAACCAATGTATTTTGTCAATTAAACTGGGCACAACTAATAGACTCGGTCGGAGTGTCAATTCTTTGAAAAAAATTAATTATTAAAATTATCTACCGAGAAACAAGGTGACAACCTGTACACTTTCACAGACAGGTCACAAGGAACGTATTTTCAGCTGTAATTGCCTCTCCAACAAAGTGACAAATCTTATATCCTTATTACAATACATTAGAGATTAAGCGAAGTTTAATGACGGTTAATTGACACAGTTTCGTATAATTAAAGTTGTAAAATTTCCGTTTGTACCTTGGATCCATGTTGAACGGATTATAATATTTACATTTTGAATTCAAAATATTGAAACATTAGGAAGTTAGTGGAAGAATAAAGAAAGAAAGAAAGAAAGAAAGAAAGAAAGAAAAAAATTTTTCCCAGTATGATGGCACCTGAAAGAAATCCACACAATAAACAAATTTAAAAAGAACTAACAACCTTACCACTGATTAAATGGATGTAGATATTGTTAATTCCTTATAACACCATTCTTCAACAATCTGCCCCTCTGTCATTTCAATATAAGAATATCAGCTTCCCCACTTGTTCACGTCATTCTTAGGGCTTTCTACACTCTCCCCATCATCTTCATTTAAACTGTGCTAAAATAATTAATTATTCATAAAATAGTTTTTTGCTTATTTTGGAGGAAAAGCGAAAACAATTTTTGATCTTGAAAGTGGTTGGATCAATAAGATTATTAAAGCCTTCTTGAGGCAAACATATAAACGTATTATGTAAATTATATGAAAATATACCGTTCAGAATATTGAAGGGCAAAAATGTTGAACATTGATAAAAATAAATTGACAACTCTCTTGTATATTTGAACCCCTCCGTAACATGGGTTATTATTATCAGAATCGGTTGAAATTTTGACCCGATTTTCGTTTTTATATTCTTCTATGGGCAAAGAGCAAAAACTACTTAACAAATTTTCAGGACATTCTACTCGACTTTGTCTTCAATCATGTGAGTGATTATTTTACACTTATTTATACCGAATTATGGGCATTGATCGTTGATTAACAGGTAGAAATTATTCACATTCATTTCACTAATGTTCACAAACTAGTGTTTCAACCTTCTTACTCCCTAATAATCTCGTCAACTGGACCACTACAGAATGTTCACATGTTATCAGTGTATTTACATATATATATATATATAAATATATCATATATATATCATAAATATATCATGTATATATCATATATATACATATACTTATATATATATAATTATATATATAATGCAATAAAACTCGCTTTAAAATTTCCTTTTTAAGAAATATTATTACACGCGTAATATAGAGATTACAATTTAATCTATTGCAAGTTTAATTATAAGCTCAATATACAAAGGCAGTCAGAAAGTAATATCTCCTATTTTCTTCTACTTAAATACGTTGAGTTAAGGAAAAAATTCGAATTTGGCACTATTCCTCAAACCTTTTTCTACATTTCACCGCAGACGTAACTTAGTGCGTCAAGAAGAGATAGGCACAGGCATCCTCAGAAAATTGGCCGACATCGTAAGAGACAGCGTTGTGAGATTGAATTCATGAATGCAGAAAGCGAAATGAGACAGACGAATTTTGTCATATTATTTCCCCCATTTGGTCTGCAATCACCGAGCGGGCGCCACGAACAATGTCATCTATTAGCTAAATGTTGAATGGAGCGATAGGAGTTATGGATCTCCCTCTGCGTTTTTCGTCAGCCAACGGTGTTTGCCCTTCTGCTTCGTTACAAACATCGTCTAACAGTGCTGGCATTCACTATTATATCGCCGTACACATTTTTCAATCTTTCCAGAATACGAATGGTCATTTCACCTTCTGCCTTCAAGAATTCAATCACACAACAAGGTCTCTTAAGAACATCGATGTCGGCAATTTTCCAAACGCCTGCAGTGTGCTCACATGTTCACGCAGAAAGTTACTGCAGCGGTGGATTGTAGAAGGAGGTTTCCCACATTGTTCCAAATTCATTTTTTAACTGCACTAATTTTATTTAAGTAGAAAAAAAATAGGAGGCATTACTTTCTGATTGCACCTTGTAATTTTTAGTGACGATATCTGAAGGATATAAATCATGAGTAAAAACCTCGAACAGCACGGACTTAACTGACACATTGTAGCATTAACAACAGCTCTTCTAGACCATAAGATTGGCAAAATATTACATTTCGCAGAGCTACGTGGCTCGGCGATATACAACTGTTTTAAAATCATTTGTAAATAGCCATTTGACCTCAACATACACAAGGATATTGTAAGGATGTTGTCTTTTGCTGTGTGTGGCAGGACCTGCCCGAGCTGCAGCATCTGGTGCTGGCGGGAAACGCGTTGGCGCGCCTGGACGCGCAGTCGCTGCCGCCCGCGCTGCGACACCTGCTACCTGGGGCGCAACGCCTCAGCGCGCTCAACGCACGCTCAGGTTCCAGCCTCCTCATGCCTTTGACAGCGTTTCTCAGAATACAAATCATTACCACTTTTAGGGCATTGAGGGGTCGAAGATGATATCGTTTTTTCTGTCATTAATGACGCTGAATTTTCAAAACTTTTTCCTACACTTGGGGCGCAACGCTCTAGTCCGCGATCATACGCACGCTCAGTCAGTCCTCGCTCATGCCTTTTGACAGTGTTTCTCGGGATAAATATTACCTACCTTTTAGGGCAGGAGGGGGTCGAAGATGGATACTGATTCTGTCATCTATGTAGCTAATCACCTACAACTGGGTCGCAACATACGCCCTCAGTGGACTCAATGGTTTTCATTGCTCAGGTTTCAGGCCCCCTCAAAGCCTTTGACAGCGTTTTCTCGGTATAATAATTACCTACTTGTAGGGCATGGAGAGGGGTCGAGATGAGTTATCCTGTATTTTTTTTTTTCTGCTGTTTCATTTTTCTTTTTTTTATGATTTAGGCATCTCTATCCAATACTGTAGTGTCTCCCTCTTCCTTTCCTCGCTTCGCAATCCTTTTGTCGCTCGTTCTCAGTCTTGCGTCTCTAATGGGCTAATTTGCTCAGGCAGCCCCCTCAAGCCCTTTGACAGCGTTCTTGGGATAAATATTACCTATTTTTAGGTGGTGATAGTGGTGATGGAAGATGATACCTGTGTGTCAATGAACATGCGCTGGGAAATCTCAAATGGAGTAGCCCATAATTAAATATTCTTAAGAAAGTGAATTTGGAGTATTTTGAATACCTCCCACCCAACTTTAACTTGCGCTTGAACCCCCTAAATCGTTACTTAACGTTTGTGACAACCTTGTTTGCAATACGTTAAAATAAATGTGTAACAGTAAACACTTGTATTATTTTATTTGTTATATTTTAAAATTTATGTTTGTTGAATATGGTCGGGATTAGTTGGCGATGCTGATTGCAAATAACAGTGGGATTGGGAATAATGTTTGAGGACGCTTAAATATTCGCTTAAGTGCGAATATTTCCGAAAATAAGCTGCGCACACGCCGCGCCGTCGTGAATGACACATGGGCGCGAGATCACTGTGCCAATTAAATTTAATTTTGGAATATTCTTTAGATCAATTATGATTTTTTTCGCAATTTAAGAGATCCAATCATTACACTATTGGTGAAACATTTTAATTTATTGCAACGATTTATACATCATAACTTCTTATTTCATTTATACATTTTTTAGAAAATGGTTAATATCGCAATGGTTTAGTATAAGACTGAATAAATTAAATTATTTCAGCAATAGCTTAAATGTTAAAAAAATATATACCTGCGTTATGAAACACTAAACTAACACCTTACGTAACTCAGAGAAACGCTGCCTCAACTTCCACCTCCGTCTTTAGCGTATAATAAATGGACTACCAATATATCGAGGTTACAAATAAGATATTTGCCACTCACCAAAAATTTGGTACACAAATGACCAAGAACTTTTGTGAATTGGCGAAAAAAGGATGCACTAAACGACAGGCATGTGTTGCGGCGCTTAGTCGCGCCCGATTTTAGACCTTCACGACTTTTGCCCGCAGTCACCCATTAGAATTGCAATGTACTTGCTGTTCGGAAATGACTCAATTGATCTCCCGAATCTACAAGCTTCAAGAAGCAGTGATCCCCACAAAATTCCGATGATACATAGGCTGCGAAGATACTGAAAAAGTACAATAAGAATTCTTTTTGTGGTCATGTACGATTCTGCGGCCAAAACGGTGAAACAATATTAATTAATCTTACTTAGTGTGATCGTCCGCTCGTGCGTTCTCCCGTCACTCACGGCCACCTTCCCGACCACCAATCGAGACAAATGAAGTGTTTTTTGTTGCGTACCGGTCTTATTGTGGGGAACTGATGA